ATAATAATAATAATAATAATAATAATAATAATAATAATATCAAATCAATTACATTTATTAATTATGTATATAAAGTTATAATTTCATATTCCATGCCGTGTATTTTATTTATTTATTAAATTTCATTGGAAAAGGAGCTCAAAAATATAGCACGCCCCTCCCCCCTGTAGGCTGCGCATGCCTATGCATGCCATTCCATTGTGACGTTCATAATGACACCTGAGTGGTTGCGATAATAAACTGTTAGCACACAGTCGTAGTTACTAGTTATTTTTGTTTCGCGAATCGGCCATCATGCATGGGGCCATGCGATTCCACCGGAGCTCAGACTTAATTGTCGGGGTAGGTGCACTTTACCTTTCTATGGAGAATCAGTATTTGCTGATTCCATTTTTACGGGATGAAATTATGATGATGAATGATGAAAAATACACACACGAATATACAGACACACACAACGAAACCATGCTGGAGGCGGGACTCGAACCCGCGATCCTATAGACCGAGACCGCCACCGCATTATTGCCTCGCCAATCTCTGCCATAAGATCGGTAGATAATGTTTATTAATAAAATTAGTTTAATTTGAACATCAAACTGAAGCGAAAAGACTCATTACGAAGTTATAACAAACGCATATCATTTATCTACGACGATTATAAGTCCATTTTATTTTATATTAATCTAGACATTGCATTGGTCAATAGATTGAAGACGTGTTGCGATGCTATGCGATTCTTTCATATGAGGCGATTTTTTCATTTGTTATCATTATTACTAACGTTTCATGTCGGGCGAAAGTGAATAATAATTGCTAATTTTCAATTTTAATGTGTTGAATACGCGCTCTAATCTGGCTGATGTCGCGGCCCCTTGAATTTGAAGTCGATGTTTTAATTTTGGGGGCTACATTACATGAAGCCCCCGGGGCATTTTAAAAAGTTTTTTAAAAAAAATTCTCCCTTTTTGATTTCTTTTTGATCAAATTTTGTTGTTGGCTTTTGTGCAGGACGTTTAGAGAATGGCGCAGATCTCATCTTCGTTGAAAACTAATTTTCGAAAATAGCAAAATTCAATTTTTTTTGCCTGAATAAAATATGATTCTTAAAGATATATTTTGAAATTAGGCAATATACAATTTTTCGAAAATTTGTGTACTTTTTACGTAATTTAGCGTGAAAATGCAGGTGAAAAAGTACGTGCTGTTTTTGCACCACTAGTTTTGTTTACTTTCATTGAATTTAGATTTAATTACATTAATTACATAAGAATATTATAGTTAGATAATTTTCAGATAATTGTATGGCTGTCGATTACTACTAATTGATAATTACAATATATTGTTGCAATAAAAAAATATAGTGAAACAATTGTATTTACTAGAATTATTTCGAGTAGTTCAAGTATTTTAAATACGTATATATTTAGCAAAATTAAACCTAATGTATTTTGAGTATGTATTTAAATTATTTAAAGGTATTTTGACGAAGTATTTAAATACCGAATTTAAACAGCCAACGTGCCGCCTGCGCCGCCGTCTGTGGTCGGAAGCGGGAAGTGGGAGATCTTGAGCATCCGTTGAGGTATACCGGGTATACCAGAAAACATATGACGTGATTACCGACGTGACGACTGATATATTGAGATATTACATGCACTTCAGTTGCAAACTTTCTAGAATTGTGGTAAGAACTTCGTTTCGGACATTGTCTCAGTTTTTCCATTCTTCAGCTCGTGTCAATATGTCAAACTCGAAAACTGCAATCATTCTTTTGGCGGAGGGTGCGGAGGAAATGGAATTTGTCATTGCTGCAGATGTTCTCCGTCGTGCCGGAGTAAGTTTAAAGAACTTACTTTTCCATTTTCTTAAGTAGGTAATTTCTTATAAGTACTGCTTTGAAAGTGACAAAGCGAACATAACCTTAAAAATGTATCAACAAAATTTATTTTGTCGCAATGGGAAAGTGACAATATACGTAATGTTCATTTTAATGTACATGATGATTACCCTAATTTTGTAATGTACTTGTGTGCGAAGTGATATAAATAATCAGAAATTAATTTACGCTCTTTTCTGGAGCACACACTTCTTTAAATTTATGGAATATGTTTGTTTAAAATTAATGTATAAAAGTTAAAATGTACCCTAAAGTTAAATTTAGAGTTGTAAGTACATGGGACATGGACAATTACCCAGAATTACCCAGTAACTTGGGTAGTGCCACAAGTGTTCAAATTATTGTATAGGCATATTTTGGTTTCCTCAGTGAAAGTGGTCTGAGTACATTTAGACTTTCTGATGAAAACTAGACATGTAGATCTATTACATACATTCCACAAATTAAAATGGTGATGGCAACAATTATTTTAATAAGTGTAATTCTAAACCTTGAACTGCAGTATGTTAAGGTCCACCTATATCATGGTCCTGTTAGTACAGAAGACCTGATGGTTTATATTACCTCTAGGTGTTCCTGTGTCTCAATTTTTCTTGTATTTTCCAATGTCTCTTTGTCCTGTAGACTTTTAATTGAAAGCTAGCTTTGGAAGTCGTTTCATCTTATTAATGTGTTCTAACCATTTACTCTGATAGCCTTCTAGAATATTTTGTGTTTATAAGTTATTCCTAATATCTGTGATTCTTTGTCATATAGGTCATGTTAAAATTTACAGAATATGTAAGATTTAATATCAGTTGTTTTTCCACTGTTTGGAAATAATTAGATGTATATTTTCATGTTATTTTTTCAGGTATCTGTAACAGTAGCAGGGGTTGCTGGAGCAGAACCTGTGAAATGCAGCCGTGAAGTTAAAATTGTCCCTGATAAGAGTTTAAAGGATGTTAAAAAAGAATCATTTGATGTGGTTATTTTACCTGGTGGTCTAGAAGGATCCAGACATTTATCTGATGTGGGTATCTGAAAACATTTTTTTTCTTTCTGCAGTAGACTATTTAACAAACTCTTTGGGGAAAACGTCTGCCAGCGTAAAGTAAATTCTGCTTAAAAGAAAATATTTAAAAAAATATTGATTATTGCCAAGAACTGTTAATGTATACTTTAAATATAAAAATGTAAAACTACTCTTAAATTAAAGGGAGAAGCATTTCTAGCAAAAAAATGTAATGTTTGCTGTAGTACCCGTACAGTATAGCATGACAGATTGCTGGAAAAAATTGAAAATCTGAAAAATATAGGGAAATTCATGAAGAAAAAGAAATATGCAGGGAAATGACTTGTCACCTTAAAATATGTCTCGAATAGAGCAGAGCAAAAGTGGTGGTATATCACTCCTTAAGAAACCCAACTTTATTTATAGTGATATTTAAAGTAATATTTTCTTTTTGTTATGGTTATTTCATTGTGTTGAGTTCACCACTATTATTATTTACACCTTGAGCATTTATTTCATCAGTTTATTTATACATGGCTACAACCGAGACAACTCAGTTTTATTGCAACATTGTTACAGCTACTAAATAATCCTCTGATGCCACCAAATGATATTAGTTTCTTAACAAACAAATGTACATACTAATAATAACTAACATACCCTTCTAAGTAAATATCATCTTTGAGACCCTAAATTGATTAAACCTTATTTTAAAATACACAGGTCTTTTCTTTTTTACTTTACAAATAATTTCTTTTGTTAACATATCTGACTCAAGTTCAGATGATTTGGTGTAACTCATCTGTATTTTCTTATTATTTACTTCATTCATTATAAAATAAAATCTCATGCCAAAAGGCTTGTCTCTTGAGGTTATCTGGAGGCCTCCTATCCAATTGACTATCATTCTCATTCGTTGTAAGTAGATTTTTAAATATTGGTCCATTTCGATCCAACCTTAAGACAAAGTTTTTTACAAGTTAAAGTTTTATGTGGAAAGGAGAAATTTAAGATTTTCTTCCAATCCAACAGAGACTAGTGCTGCATATTCCTTTTCCCAAGTTCTGTTTGTTGAAGAAGGCTATTGTTTTCGTGAAATGAGCATCTCTACTAACTCATTCATAAAGGAAAAACAGTGTAGCTTTGCTGAAGCCCTGTAAATACAGCATTTATTTTTAGATCTCCTCATACTTGCCATTTATATTGATTATATCAGGGCTTGAAATGTGATGACCTAAAAATTCTTTGAAAATTACCTATAAAATGACTTTGGAGAAAAATGACTTAAAAATTATGGGGAAATGACCTAATTTTTTATAAAATGCACAAAAATGTGTATGAAAATGTTTATTCAATGAATTTTACAATTTTAAATAAAATGTATTTATATAAAATTTTATTTAATTTCAAGTCTTTATTTTAGAAGGAAATATAATTTTTAGATCCGGGCCTTCCTTCCAACTGTCAGTTCAGTTAAAGAAAAAAAGTCAGTTGCAGTAGTGAATATCATTACGAACTGAGGATACAATAAAAACTTTGTGTTAGTGTGTCATTGAAAATTCATTAAACACTAGCAGAAAACACAAAAAGAAAACAAAATCTGTAAAAGTGACAAAGGTTGAAAAAAATCATCTACAAATTGAAAAATGAAAAAAAAATTACCCAATAACTGTACATTTCTATCTCCTATATGTCATGATAAACATTCATTTACAAGTTAGCCAAGTCTGCAGTTCACCGATGAAAAGATGACATGTCAGCAGAATCTGTGCCGTGATTATAATTAATCGAAATTAAGTACAAACTGCACAACCAACAGGAATGGAAGGCAACCAGTTGCTATTATGAAGTAAAACAGCTCTGATGATTAATTTAGGCAGAAACGTGTATCAAATTGAGGAAAAACCCTTGTAGCCTCGAGGTTAACAACTCTGCCTTGAGTTTCGGAAGCCCCAAATTTCCCAGGAGATCACTTTATTCATTCTGGCTGATCTTGTGTAGTTCAGATTTAATATTTGTATAAATTTAGGATTTGTACTTGCAGAGGATTGAGGATCACAAACTTCATCTTCTGATTGTTACAAATATTATTCAGAAATAGGGACAGGAAATTGATTGTTGGTTGTGAAGTGTATGATAAGTCAGGATAGTAAATGCTGCAAATTGTTCAAAATATTTCACCCCTTTATGTCATTTGAATGATTCTTTGGGTTGCACAATATTATAGAAATGGCAGATGGCGTCAAAAATCTCCTGTCAAGAAGGCCACTGTAACAAATTTTGCAGCAAATATGTGGCTTCCAATCTCCTAATAAGCAGAATTTTCCAAAATTTTATTTCAATTCAGTTGAGATATTAATTACAATTATATGGTAAATGGTAAATGTAATATTCAGCAGCACTCTGTCAGAAACAATCAGCTGTTCTATTAAAATAAGAACCAAGAGACAACTTTCAGCATTATTTTTGTGTTTGGTGGTCAAGTTGAAGTGAAAAACTTTTAAAATACTCATGTTGCAAATTTGCTATTAACCAGTGTAATTATTCTATGATAAAATAATCTCCTCTTGTTGGTAATTGTTCCAAGTTTCCAAATTTTATTTATCATATATTGGACATCTGTTAAGTATTTTTCCAATTTACTCTTCAAGCTTTTCTATTTTAGATAATTTTACTCTTAATTGTATTAATCTTTGGTTTTTCACTTCTTTGTGTTGATGTTTTAATAAATTGCATAATTCTTTGAAATTCTCCAACAAGATATTGCTTGCTCATTTGACAGTGTTATCATAGCATGAACTTCATCATTTTTATGTGACTAGTCTTTCTATAGTTCATGTCTGGATAATTTTCATTAATTTTTGCTTCTTCATTTGTTATAACAAATTCATGTAGATTCTTACAGTGTAGTAGCATTGTCATTCTTAACCTTAACACCAATATTTTTTTTCATTTTGTTGTTGAATTCAGAAAGTTCTTCAGTGTTGATTCTTTACAATAGCTAGGCTCTGCTTCCCAATTGTGTGGGTTATTTAATTGAATTTAATTAATCACAATTGGTATTTAAATCTTGATTTATGCATTTGTGCATAATTATAACCATTGATACATCATTACAGTCATGACATATCAATTTTAATAATTTCAGAGTTTCAGCTACTAAGAAAACCTCCAAAGCTACCAAATGATATTACGCATTTTACACAACAAATAAAAGCACATGCAAATAACAAAACATTTAAGGTTCCTTAAGTGTCTTGAGTGGTTACCTCGGAACTTAAGCATAGGGTTCTCCAAACTACGGCCTGTGGGCCACATCCATTCCTCGGCAGTATTCTATGTAGCCAGCCAACCCAAAGTGTTTTCTAATTCAATTTAATCCTGACACATGCGGTAACATTTTGTTACAAGATACAAGAATCTGTTTTCCTATTGCTACATACTGCTGTAAATGCTACATAAAGAATATTCAAACACCCAGTTTTTACCATTGGTAGAATAGTATTTTTTATTCTCGTATCCAATTTTGACTTTGGTTTGTTTATTTTGACTAAACTGAGTACATTGCAAATTAAATTAATTTAAAAAATGCAAGGAGAACCTCAAATGTGACGTACACACTCATATCATAGCATTTAGGCTGAAATTATCTCTGGAAAAAGATATTGCTACAAAATTGTTTACTTACTACCCTATCTGTAAGTTATGAAGAACTGAAAATGTTTTTTATTTCCCACTTGTAATTTGTTTGGAAATACTTTCAGAACTGAAAATGCAGTTCAAAAATAGATACACTGACTTGGATGTTAACTCCAGAGACACAAGTTTTTTCAGAACCTGTTTTCATGAGATACTGAGCAAGTCCCAGTAGCTATACAAATAGAAATCATTTACCTCAAAGCTGATGATGCAGTGCAGGACAATTTCCAAAAAAGAAATTTGATTGAATTCTACAAACAAGTTCCTGTGGACCTTTAACCAAAAATTCAAAATGTTTCCAGAAATTTAAGATTGTGAACAGTAAGTGGTTGAATTTCAGTTAAGTAGATTATAGATACAGGGATGAACATGTAAGCAATTTATGTTTTTGAATCTTCTCTCCCACCTAAAATGGGCAGAGGAAAGGCAGGGACCCAGTTGAAACAGTATATGGTTAATCCAATTTCAGTGAAGAGACCAACCACTATTATGTTATTTGTTTCTTGTAACTTTTCTTTGCATTAATTTTGTTCTACCTTGCTGAATTTCTTCAGTCTACAGATGTTGGTGAAATTCTGAAGAAGCAAGAACAAAATGATAAGCTCATTGCTGCTATATGTGCAGGTACAATGAATTTTTTGTTTAAAATAAAGCCAGAAAATCTTTGTCACCAAAGTATCCAAATCAGAATATCCCTTCCTCTTAATTTTTTTACAACGTACATGAATGATTAGATTTGTTGATCACGTAAGTGATCTTCATTGACTCCATCCTGAGTTATTGTTGATTGTAATGTGTAATTATTAATTAAAAATCACAATTTTTTTGACAAACTTTTCTTATTATTGCATGATATTTTCATTACTTTTGCAATTTCACTTTGGGAAATCAATTAAAAAGGTTTTAATATTTAACTAAATATTTAGTTGTATGTTTAAGCAATGATTAATGGAATTAGTAGTTATTGATAAGAAATTACAGGTATATAATTAACTGGGAGTACCTGCAATACAGAAATGCCATGCAGTATCTGTCAGATACCCGTGTTTTTTGCCTGTTAGCAATGTTTTCTTTTTTAAAATGTTGCAATTAATGACAAATTCTATGTTTCCGGCATGTCTTTTATGTCAGCTTGATCAGTTTATTTGTTTGAAACTTCATCTACTTTCGGTGGATATACTTGTATCTATTTGTTCACCTGTTTAAATATAGAAACCTATTCATGTCTCTCTATGCAGCAATCTTAGATACAATGGTGTGTATGAGCAAAAAGTGGAAAAATTGAATACAAATTATTTTTTTTGCAAGCTAATACTTAATCATTTTTTCAAAAATAAATATACACAAAAATAACATAAATGTTGGGACTTAAGAGTCTTCTTTGATAACCATTTTGTAGGAAAAATATCAAAATGATAAAATGGGTAGTCAGCAGTGGCATACTCAGAGGAGGCAAAGACTTAAAGGGCATAAGCCCCCTATTCCCAGAATGATACGTTTTAAAAATATAGCTTTTGCCAGTTTCCGACATTGACAAAAGTCATTTAGTATGTCAATTGTTTAGGTTAAACATATTAATTATATGCCAACAAAAATAAATACATTTTATCTTCAGTATAAATGAAAAATTCCATTTAAGAAAATAAAATTGGCTGGTCACTATACTTGTTGTCCCTCCTCCCTGCAAAAGCCTGTATGTGCTTCTAGTATTGAATTAGAATGATTATCTGGTGTGGCTTGAAAATTGATCTTATCAGATTTTATTTTGCAGATCATGAAAAGATTTTACTTTGTACTTATACTTTAATTGATAGTGTAATCCTTATAACTTCATTTGAAATGCATAGTAGTTTGAAGTGTGTTCTGTTAGTAAAATATATGCATTTCAATTTTTATAAACTGAACCTATTATGTTGCTTTTTTTTGTAGCACCTACAGCTCTGAAATCTCATAAAATTTGTTTGGGAAAAAAACTGACATCGTATCCTGCCATGAAATGCCCAATGGAGGAAGGCAATCATTATACATACTTAGAGGAGAAAGTTGTTATTGATGGTGAGTCTTCACTCTGAATATTACGGTGTAATGTGTGTAAAAACAATTATTAATTAATCATTAATTTTTTTTGTTAAAAGACATTACATATCTAATTTAATTGCATCAGACAATTGCTGTGAAAATACAAGAATGCAGAAAGAACTTAGGATTCATACTAATGTTCTTTTATGCTTGAAACAATAATATTTTGTGCAAATAGGAATGATGTTTAAATTTTTTCAGGTAATCTAATTACCAGCCGTGGTCCAGGGACAGCATTTGATTTCGCACTTGCTATCGTGGAGAAACTTTTTGATAAAGAAACCGCTTCCAGTGTTGCTAAGCCCATGTTACTGACTTATTGAATAGTTACATGATAAACATAAGTATATTTTATTAGAACAGCCTTATTCTGGAATTTGTTGGATGTTTGTTTGGGTATTTGTGATTATAATGTTATGTTGAAAATTCAGGCATCCCAAGAAATTTGAGATTGCATATCCCAAACTATAAATAAAATTACATACAAATCATTTTTGTGTGTGTTTATTTCAATTAACTGTCTTAGCAAATACTTTGAACACACTTTAGAAACAGTGGTTATTACAAATGAATAAGATACAATAAAAGTGACACATCTCATTGATGAATTATTTCAAAATACTAATAATATTTCAGTATGTTCACATGTTCTCTTGCAATTAGAATTCAGTAAATTAAATGACTATTATTTAATATTGTAATCAAAGAGGAAAGAATACTATTAGAATGGAAATTCAGCATAACCTTACCCATATTCATAAAAGGAGACGAGAATAATCCTGAAAATTATGGAGGCGTCGTTGTAATAAAATATGACACAAAAATTACTCTACAAATTGATACTACAAAAGATTGAGACATTTATACAGATAAATGAAGAATAGCAAGGATTTAAATAGACCAACAACAGACGCCATATTTGTGATTCGTCAAATAATCAAAAAGGTGATTGAATCCAGCCTTTTTGTTTTGTAGTTCTAAAGAAGGCATTTGATCAAGTATGACTACAGAATAGAATAACTATCTTGAGATTGAGAAGGCATTAATAAAAGTAATAGAGAATATGATTACAATCACTGTCACAGAAGTGCAAGATGTGGTAACAGGTGAAGTTGCATGTGCATCTGGCATTAGACAAGGGGATTCTCTAAACTTTTTAATTTAATTATGGACAAGCTTATTAGGAGCTTAAAAAATATCAGAATATAGAATGGGAATGTGAGAGAATATTTATATTGTGTGTTACGTTGATAATGCAATATTATTGGCAGATTCAGAAGATAACTTGCAAATACTCTTTCAAAAATGTTCAAAAAGTGCAGAATGTTATAATATGGTCTTCTCAACTGACAAAACAAAATCAATGGTAATCACAAAAGAGCCTATACATGGTAAACTAATGATAAAAAATGAAATAGTGCAAGTAATGAAATTCAATTATATAGGACATGACATTTTTAAGCACACAGAATATGTATAATGAAGTTAAACAGCAAGTAATGAAAGGAGTAAGAATATCAGGATGTATGAAAGATGTGGCCTGCAGAAACAAATTTCTTAATGCAGAAAGCAAAGTAAAAATTTACAAAACTGTGGTTAGACCAGTGGGCATATGGAGCAGAAACAAAGGCTGATAATAGAAGAACTAAGACTCTGCTTAGAACATCAGAAATGTTAACATTCAGATCAATATCAGCTGTAAGAAGATGGGATAGATTGAAAAACCAAGATGTAAGAAATGAGTGTGACATTACAGATATTGTAAAATTTACAAGAAGAAGAGAATGGAATAGGCACGTTAGCACATCAGACTGCTAATCTCCTGACTGATCCTGATGGTGGAGTGGGAAGAAAAACAAATGTTACATTAATTGAAGATGAAGATATAATTCCCAAAATATTTTTTATTCCATCAACGTTTGTCTATTTTATTACTTTGTTTTGTGAAAAGAAGTAATTTCAACAAAAAAAAAATCAGAATGTTTTCTCATTATTACAGAGACAATTATTTCAATTAAGACAATGAAACACATATATAGCTCCTTCATAGAGAGTACCACACTCTATGGGGGAAATGTCTGGACATTAACAAAAAATTTGAAAGACAAACTTCAATCAACAGAAATGATGTTGTGGCGAAGATGTTGTAAACTTTCTCTGTTAGATAAAATAAGAAATTATGAAATAAGAAATAAAATGAAAGTGCAAACAACCTTGAATGGGACAATCAAAATTAAACAACTAAAATGGTATGGACATATGAAAATGTTGGGATTGGATAGACTTCCACAAAAATTTTGGGAGTGGATACCAAAGCGAAGAAACAGGGGAAGACCAAGAACATGGTACATGGCAATAACTAAAGCCATGGAAAAAAGAGAAATGGAGGAAAACATTCTGTGGGATAAAGAGGCATGGAAATTGATGCGGAAAATGGCCAAGGCTTTAAATTCAAAAAAAAAAAAAAAAATGCTAAATAGATATTACAGAGTGCTTTTGAATCGAGATGCCCTTCATTAAGATACAATCAGATGTTCTTACAAACCAACAAGCCTGCTTCAGTTGTCTCAACGGTAAGAAGTGCGCATCAGCAACTGAGATCATTTTCAATTGAACCCTTATGGCGAGACTCAGGCTATGAAGCCATCTGACCATGCAAATTTCGCTACGCTCCTTTCACTGTTTAAGAAAGGAGGTATTCTAGGGCAATGAAACAGGCGATTTGAATTTAGCTCAGAGGCTTCATTTAGGCTTGAGGATCTTTTACATGCAGTAAATCTACTTCTTGGGACAGCCGCCCTTACTTCCCCTTCATGGGCAGGCATACACAGGATTTTTTCGCCCTTAAAAATCCACAGTTTCGACTGGGTTTGAACCTGCAAACTTGGGTACTACAGTCTGATACGCTATCCATTACACTATCGCTGCCACAGTATATTTTCACCATTAGATGGGAATAGTATCACTGACACTGGTTTCTGGAATCTTAAACCTTAATTTCCAAGAAACTTTGGTGATTGCCAACGTGTAACACTTCGATGAGAATGCTGCACACTGCAGTGATTGTTTGCTGGTCGTAGATATCGCCAGTTTGTATGAGGGTTTCATTTTGGTCTAGTGTGGCTGCAAAAATTCCGTCCTGGATAGCAATAGATGAAGCCTTTATTTCCAATAGGAAAGTTGAAATGTGCAAAATGTCCATCAACTTGTGCTCACCCAATGGCTTTTAAAACATTTGTATTCTTTTTTAAAATTTGGTTTGGGAAATTTTTGATAAATGTAGTTTTGTATTAGGTAAATGTCTTTAATGCTACATGTTAGTGTATTTTAATGTTGCCTAATATATCCGATTTTATGTACTGTTTTCATTATATATTTTTGTACATATTTTGACATTTGATACTTCGTATTTTTCCAGTCTCTATTAATTACCAGGTGTACGACCTGAAACCCTCGAATTGCACTTGAACCGAGATGCTGAGCAATCTTGGAAAATGCAGGTATCATAACTTAGGATATTCCCAATTGCTTATTCATACCAAGTTTCTGCAGAGTAACATTTAAGGCTTGAAAAATACTTTACTCAGAAATAGCAAAGAAGGGAAATGAGTCTGTAAGTCCAAACAGAGCTGATGTAGATTTAAGATTCTGGTCCAAAAGACATGACTCTACATTTTTTTAAAGTACAAGGAAATTTAACTGTATTGTTTTAAATTTTTCTTTATTTCATGATTCCGTTTTTTTAGAATAGTACAAAATATGTTTCTATCATGCATTACATTTTTGATTCTAGGATGATTACACAAACCTTTTTTTCTATACAAGAAATAGTTCATAAACTTTAAGATTAAATGCATTGGCTGTTTATGGACAAATAATTGCACCACACATTCGCACTGACAGCAGAGATTGGAAGAATCGTAGGGTATTACGCAAAACAGTTGACCACATATTTTTTTTTGCACAATGTCAAATACTTGATGTTAATTTTCCAAAAAATTAACTTTGATTGTATATAAATATACATCGTTATAACAAGAAATACGTACGAAAATCTGTTGTAATGTGCGTATTGCATTCATACAATTTGAAAATGAGCCTAGTTTAATTAAAATTTAAAAAAGCCTTATAAGTATATGACCGATATAACGGTAAAATGATTCTAGCCTTCTGTCGAACCAGCGTTTGTCAAGCAGATGTTCCAAAAAATCTACTGTTCTCTTAACCTTTAATTTAAAGTCAGATATTCTTTTTCTCTTATTTATTTTCTCGCATAAAATGAAGCCATAATTTGATAGTGTTTTGATGAAATTTATAACCAACATTTTATTTTTCCAATTGGTTGTAACAATTCTGTTTCAAATTTAAGTAATGGATTATTCTTAAAATCCCATAAATATATCACCCAAAAAATTTAGTGACTAAAACATTCTGAAGAGAGGAAATTTAAAACTGTAATTTAAATTTTGATATACAACTTTTGGAACAATAAACACAGAAAACAGATACAAATTTAACCAAGTTAATGTAAGCATTCACCCTTACTGTGGATGTAGTCAATCGGAAACAATTTGTCTGATTTGTGGAGACACAATTTTGAATTAATAGGTTAAAGAAAAAATACAATCTAGCTGATGACAATCAATGTAAAGCAGAATGGCACAGTTTCTATGTGATAGGTATAGGAGCAAAAACCACTGAAGTTTCGGAGAGAACTTTAACATATGTATCTGACACAGATTTACATAAAGCTGAACATACTTGAAATTAATAACACGTAAAGACGTGATTAATCAGGACATCAATCTAGGCTATCAGACAGGGCACATAAGTTAGCACTGGATTTGGGAAGGATTGTGTGGTGCGCTAAACTGTACTAGTACTTTGTACTGTAAAAATTTAATGTATGATACAAAATCGGAAAATAAAAGAACATGATAGAAAATGTGGGAAGTACTGCTTGATCGGCAGAACTGTTTTGGTGCTAGCGTTGATCGCAGATGGACAGCCAGACAAACACACGTTTTGCCTTGAAATGCTATGACTTTTGATTTTTGAGCAGATGTTTTAAATCCACATTTTTGTTGTTTTTTTAGTTAAAAAGAATAATTGCAGTTTGTTTTCTGTCTCTTGTATTGCCACTTTGTCATCAGTAGGGCCCGGCTAATTATGTACCAAAAATTGGGAGAATATGTACATATATATGTATTATTATATACAGAAATATGTACTAAAAAGGATTAAATATGTATCATCAAATCAATTATTTTTTATAAAAATACTTTTATCTAAGATAAAAGTATGTTTTGTTTCATAACAAAGAACAAAATTAAACATTACACTCTTCCTAATCCTATTATTTACAACGATTTCCGTTACAATAAGGAACAATATTTGTTTGAAATTGTCAGCAATTAAACTTTTCCTATTATCTAGTAAGAAGGCCTTGTACTGACTAAAAGAGCGTTGTTCATCGCACGAATTACTAGTGCGTATTTAAACTTGCACCGATCCTCTGGCATGTGGTAAATACGAACTAGTGTGGCGGAGTTGTTCCCTTATTGCATTACACTAATAGCACAAATTGTTTCGAATGCGGGGTTTTCTCCAGAAACAAAGACCTCGTCTTCTTCACTAGATCCCGTGTTGATCTCGAGTGATAAACAGTTCTTAAAGAAGCGACTGCTAATTGGGCAATTTCAAGGCTATAGGAAAGTTGGAAGGAAGATTTCTCCAAAGCTTTGATTGTAGTGCTTGCTGACAAAGGGGGCAATATAATTTTTCAGCATCAAGCAATGATATGCATACGCCCACTGTACCATCAGAATCAAATAAATGTGTAACTAGTGTGTAGAAAACATTTTCAGCATTGTAGATCATAGAATCAATCCTGGTTCCCCATCTTCTTAATCCTTTTTTGTATTAGAAATCCATGCATCAGCTTTATCAACCTACGATCTAATCAGTTCTGCATCCCAAAGCATGCACAGGATAGTTAACGGACAGTGATA